ATGCTCCAGCTTCAACTACCACATAAGCCTAAACCACTATTCTAGCATCAACCACAACTGAAGCGGCTACAACTTCAGCACCTACGACAACAGAGCTTGCACCAACAACAACACTAGAGGCAACAACCACAGTAATCTAACCAACTACAACCGTAGATATGTCGACAACAGCCGTGACAACAACTGAAGCTCCTTCTACTACAAATGCTCCAGCTTCAACTACCACATAAGCCTAAACCACTATTCTAGCATCAACCACTACTGTAAGTTTTACTGTTTTTATTCTAATTAATAACTCCGATTGTGCTACTAGACAATTTAATCATTTATTTAGGCTAATACTGTCTCTACTACAACAATTACTACAACTACAACAACTGAACCACCAATAGTAAAATAATGCTAAGAAGCTAATAGCGTTTTTGATATTACGTCTACACTATCTGAATTTATTGGAGAATCAGTTTCATGTAGAGGAATGACTGTTTGTCCTGATGGATCACCTCCTCCTTGTTCATGGACAAGAAAAATTGCAACTTAATGCTTTAATACTTAAACTAATTCAGGAGGATCTCAAGAGTTACAAATCTAAAATACTGCAATCTTCAGAATTAGGACAAATTCGTTGCCAAATCATTGCTATTAGTCTTCTTAGAATCAAGTGAAGGAAAACAATATTGACTTTTAAGTAATTTACAAAAACAAGCCTCGCTATAGTCTTGGCAGAGAAAGATTACTAATTGATGAGGATGAAACTTCTTCAGTCACTTCAATGTTCAAAGGAGATAATCAATTAAGTGTTAACTTTGCTTTGTGCTCTGGATCTTGGACATCAGTTGGATCTATATTATAAGTGAGTCCTTCTTATTAAGAATTTTCTGGAATTATGGAAAATATTGTTGGTATAGCTCTTAACGGAGTTCCTATCCACATTGGTAACTCAGAATATGGGTCAGATGTCTTTCATCCTAAGAAGTTTGGAGATAAAGCTTATAGTGAAAAAACAGTCGAACTAGATTAATGTTTAGGAAGTTCTGAAATATCTGGGTTCTATCATTATTATGGATGGTCTCCTTGTATACTCCCATCTGACCTAATAAAAAGTAGAAATGCAGAATTCTGTAGAAATATTCCAGCCTGTATTTAAGATTAACTGGGTTACTCATTATCTTTCTTGTCACCTTAAGAGAAGACAATAATGATTATTGGAATTGCAAGAGATGGGCATTCGATACTAGGACCTTACAAAAGAGATGGAGAATTATGGTAGCCGTGCGATGTAGATATGTGTAATGGAATCGAGATTGCAGGTATTTACTATTACGTTACAACAATGTTCCATCCTTATACAGTTGGATGTTGGGGACCAGCTCCTATGAAAAAAGTTGCAGAGGAATGTTCCAACAATGTAAAGATCTGCAGTAATTCAAATCTTATCAATGCTATTTCTATTTCAGCTAACCTAATATTGATTTTTATTTTAGCGATTTCAAGCTGATTTAAAAATATTAATTTTATAAAACAGTTTTTAACTCTATTTTTTATTAAATCAATCATTGAGGGGTTTTGGGGTTTTGGGGTTTTGGGG